CGCTGGGAGCCTAATTAAAGCACGAAACTGATCGGAAAAGCGTCGGCAGATCCGCGCGCTGCTTTCGGCCTATCCAAGCCCTCGCAGGCGCAAGACGTTCCGGCACATTCGTGACAAACTTTCAATAACGGCATTAAATCGTCGGGGAGTACGTCTTCCGTTTAGCCATAATAACGAAGCTCGAACTGTCACCCTATTCAAAAACGGCGTATGAACTTTTAGACGTTGCCAAATTTCTTCGGATAAAATACACGATTTTCAGAAAACCCCGCTGTTTTTCTTTGATTTTTTTCTCGCATTATTTCATATGTGATATCTAAAGATGATATTTGAAAATTTTGAGGTAAATATTCATTAGTTTTCTTAAAAATCGATGTTTTATTAAGAGAAATTTGGCAGCATTGGAATGGCTGTGCGACGTTCTTACTCACGACGGTGGATACCCTGAAGAGGGGCGCCGAGTCCGAAGGGGATCCGGATTCTGGGGAGGAACCCCCCCCCCTCCCACCCCCGCCACCGGGGTGGCTCAACCGTTGGCATAGGTGCTGGTGAAGATAAGTCAACCAACAAAAATAATAACAACACAATAATAAAATATCGCGTGTGGGGCTCTGTCATCGCGTGTTACCGAGTGATTTCATTGCTGCAATTTTCCCCCAACTGGAGGGGGTGCCACAGACGCCCGGGGAGGGCACGAGCAGCAGGCGCGGGGGGAGGGGGTGAGAGAGGGAGGAAAGGCTCGGATCCTTTTATTTAAACAATAAGGCCTCTCGTCTCGTGCCGGGGTTCGAGATGTTTGGAAACGAGACCGATATTGGCAACACCTAAACTAATATTACTTCCATCGTTAACTCAATTACGAGAATATTCAGAGATTTGGGCCTCGGGGCTCTCGCCGGCGGCAGCCGGCAGCCGGCGTTTAATAAAAGGCTTTTCAGATTATTCTTTCTTCTCGGGGTTGCGCGACGACACCCCACCGTGTGTCTCTCCCCAGCCGCGGATTATCCCGTGTTACTCCGTGTTTGTTTGTTCGTTTATGATTTTTCGATTATCTTATTTGTTGCACCGAGCACATTTTTCTGCGTTTCCCTCCGAGGGGTTGTTTTACCCGCGACCATCAAACACCACTCATCCTCCTGCAACTGCATTAGCTGGATGGTCTCTTCACAGTTTGGCGATTATTGGGATCCATCGATTTGATCAAATTGAAGATTTTTCCTGGTTATTTATTGTTTAGCTGTTGCCAGACTGACTTTGGGTCATATTAGTATTATTTTGAATGCATGTTTTTATGTTGTGCAAAGAATTTCGGAGGAGAGTGCCCATGCAAGTTTTTGATGGGGACAAGGCGACACACGGTGGAACGAGTCGATAGGAGAGGTCGGACAAAATTTGGGAACTTTAAAAGCTTATACCTCCGTTTATACAAAACTTTGAGCTTCTAAAGGTGGCTCCATTGGTATCCTTTTGAAATTTTCTTCTACAAGCACCCCTTAAAATTTATAAGTGATGAATTATACATCGAAATTTGCAATTTCAGCCTAAAATTTCGTGTCCGACCTTTCTAATTGACTCGATCCATTGTGCGACGGGGACGTCTTGCGAAGGAGTGGCGGCAGGACGTTGACGAGGAGATGTTGCGTTGACAGTTACGCGATAGCCTTTGAGAGATAGGACAATGTGGCGTTTGGGTGTCGCAGAACGCCAAAGTGCGTTGAAGGAACGTATGTGTGTTCTGACATCATTGTTTTTTCATGATTGTTACTGATCTATCCTGAACCATTTTTTTTTTTCAAACTTCTCTCGTGTATAATCTCCTATTAAACGAACAGCGTTAAACAAACCAACCGTGTGTATTTTGAGCCTTTGTGAAAACAGCCCATCTGCTTAGCGGAAAAATTTGGGTTTAATTCAGTCACAAGGGTGGGCAATTCTGTGCAAGGCGCCCTGAAAGATCAAAGGTAAATTAGCCGTTTGGCCTCGTGCTTCCCTTGTACTTAAATCACAGCTAAAAGAAGAAATTAAGGGGAACAAATACCTTTTTCACAATTTTCGAATTATAATGAGATAACAAAAAAAAAAAGCGTCAATGAAAGAACAGAACAGGCAAAATATTTGCAGTGCGTTCCATGCTGGGCCGATTGTGAGGGAGAGTGGTATCGCCACGGCGCGGCATGCAACTATTCGTGCTCTCAAGCCGCTCATATTGCCATCACAATTATTGAAGGCGAACTCAACAGAGCGAGATACACTTAAACGATAAATAACGCGTACTCCTTGCCTGGACTATGCAAAAGTGCCAGAACTACTTGGCGCAACTATTTGAGCTCCCAATCCGATCATTGTCATCACAATTATTGAAAGCGAAATCTACTAGATGCTGTGAATTATAAATCTCTCCCAAGGAAAGAGATGCTCAATAACTGGAGAGCAACTTTGAAAACGAACACTGGAAAAAAAAACACATTGGATCTAGAGTCCAGACTCTTGAAAACATTGACATGAAAAAGGACTCTTGATTCAATCAGATTTAAGCTTAAATCAAAAGGAAATCCGCTCAAATTAAGAGGCTAGGCTCCTGATTTAAGCTTGAATCTGATTGAATCGAGAGTATTTTTTCTTGTCGATGAGAGGCTTGGCTCCTGATTTAAGCTTAAATCTGATTGAATCGAGAGTATTTTTTCTTGTCGATGTTCTTTTTTGTCTGGACTCTAGATCCAGTGTGTTTTTTTTCCAGTGGACCCTAAGTTTTACTTACCAGTAAATGTAAAGGCGTACATGAGAAAATGATCCATGTATGCAGATGATATGAATTGCATTTTGTAAAAAGGAACCAAGAGCATTCCAATGTCGCTAAGATTGTGCAACTTTTTCACCTTGCAAATGTAAACTGATCATCCAAACAAGTTTCATCCTCTCTCCCAATAAACTATGAATTCAAAACGAAAATCATCTTTGTAAGTGTAATTTTTCTTTAACGAATGTTAGTTGGATAATCTTACCAATAATGGAATGCTTTTGGTCCATTTTTGCAAAATGCAATCCATTTCTAATAGGAATTCATATAGCGCATCGAAAGTGTAGTCTACACCTAACATTTGATAGAATGCTTATGACGGAGCTTTGTTTGAACATTTTTTTTATGCAAGATTCCTTGTATCATGATCGTCGTTTTACAATCGATTAGAGACAAATTGAGTCGTCGACGTTCTGTGCGCTCTCGTTATTATGTTTACGACTTGGTTATGCAAGTTCCCCTCATTATTTCTGCGAGCGAATTTTGTATTTTTTCAAGGTAGAAAATTATTTTTGGCTTTGCATTCTCAGCAGCTGCGTAAGCACTGTCATCCTTCTTTCATTGAATCCTCGCCATGTATTTCTTGATGAAGTGTTCGCCTTTTTTTAAGAAAAGGTAAGCTATGCGTGTCGCAGAAATCGTAATTAGAAGAGCGGCATGTCAATAGGGTCCTTTCCCCCGTTTTTTGGATTGCACGAGATGTTTTAAAAGTTTCTACATACACTCAGATCCTCAACCCTCTATGGTATGAAGAAATAAAATGGGACCAGACATTTTGAAACACCATAATAGAGTTACGTGGTTTCGCACTTTGGCCATCGATTTTGTTTTGGCCGCCGTACTGCCGTGCTAAGGAAAAACGCCGCATGAGCCTTCAGGCGTTGCCAAATATCGTTTGGTAAATCAAAAATTTTCGGGAAAACTTGTGAGTATTTTTCTTCCAATTTTTCAGGTACCTAATTTTATTCACAATTTTATCCAAAGTTTTGAGTATTTCTCGGAAAAATATTCATAACTTCCCTCAAAAATAAACATTTTATCGAAGGAAATTTGGCAACTCTCGAATGCTCATACGGCGTTTTCCCTTAGCACGGCAGCGTAGTATAAGGAATTTTTCGAGGAGTGACTGTGAATACATCCTTTATTTAAAGAATAATCCGTGCTGGGAAGGACAAAGAAGCGATAAACCTAGTGGCGATTCTTGCAAGTTACCAACACTGTTTTTTCTCCATTTGAATGTATGTTAAACAATCGATCATAGGTGAAGCAGCCTGTCTCACTTAGAATCGATATATCCAATGGATTTAAATGGAGTATATCAACATTGTTGCCAACTTGCTAGTATCGCCACAGGAAAACCCTCGATCTGATAGGGAACATCCGTTTAAAAACTTCCGCCCTCACCGCAAGAGTAATTCCGAAAGGAAGAGTGGAAAATGTTGCATCGGGTCTGAGCCGAAATGACGAAGAGTGGGAGGCCATTAATTCCGGAGCTTCGAATGCAGCTCCGAATGAGAAGTTAATTACAAAAAAGTTGGTTTGTACCTAGCACAGAGCTCGTTAGAATCTGATTACTGCATAGGTGTCAGGCTAATGACACTCCGTCACGACAAAGGCCATCCATAATCTAGTTCAGTCGCGGTTACGCCACGCTTTCCTCCGACTCAATGCCCAATGTCTTCTACTCAAACTCTCCGAGGCATTGTTGCCACATTAACGAATTTATATAAAAAAGAACTATATCCATTTTGTGACATGAGTTCTGTCCTGTCATGCATGTGTTTTTATGGATCTTAGGGCCCATGTACGAATGGATTTAATTCCTTTTGATTTAAATGTGTCCACATGGAGCATGTTGTTAGCTCGATAAAACCGAACAAGAAAGAAGAGCATGATTCGTAGTCTCTCGGACGAAGGAAAGTAACTTCATTCCAAGATTGCCAAATTAACTCAAATATTGACTTTACTTTACAAAAATGTGTCCGTGCAAGTTTTGTTCAAACTTTATCTGATTTCTGCACGAAATCTGACAAAAAATGAGCGAATTTTTAGTTAGAAATGGCCAATATTCTCCTGGTTTATAAGCAATTTGCGAGGGAAATTTGGCAACATTGAACTGGAGTTACGTTATTTCAAGAGGGAAACGACAAATTGCAAGTATTAATTAAATAGGTAGTATCCATTAAATAATTAAAATAATTCATAGATTTAACTCAATTTATGACAAAGAAAAAGAGGTTAACTTTCAGCATTAACAATGATTAGAACTAATTCGGAATAAATAAAGAAAGAGAGACAGACGGACAAATAATATTCATCATTTCTGAGATTGTCAAATACTCCAGTTTGCACTCCTCTGAAATATGCGATACATGGAACAAGAATTAGGATGAAAAATAGTTTTAGCTAAATTTAATACAGGATATTTGGACCGCTTTCATGACATGTTGTCTACATGAGGAATTAGGTAAGCGACTCGTAAACTTCAGGCGACATTTTCGAGCGTTGAATTGTATATCTAACTTGAAAACAAATAATAGACTAGAATCTTGAATAGCTTCAAAATGAATGATTCAATCAGAAACAACCTCAATGTCCAAAGGCGTTTCATAACCTGATCCACTTGATGTGCTCCAGCAGTCCTCATCCGATGTGAAACCTGGTGTGTAGTAGACTGAACCGTCTGTTCTTGGATCTTTCTGGGAGTACAACGATGATGGCGGTTTTGGATCATGTGGCTGCTCGCAAGTCTCATTATCCTTACCTACATGAACATAAAGCAAGGGATGCTGTAACTAGATAAAACTCGAAATACGTATTGGTGGTAACACTGTGGTGCTTGTTCTAAAAAACGGCATTATCTGTTCTTACTTTACCTTTAAGCCTTCAAACTTTTGTCGGTAGTTGTTGGCGAGTTGAAGCCGCAAAAATGCAATTTGACAACCATACAGCGATATATTTGTATGCGTAAAGAAGTTTATTGTAAGAGAACTAAGATTTTCATGCAGATAAGTCATGAATGAGGAGAAAGAGAAGAGGAGGAGAAGTAAAAAATATCGCATTTCAAAACTACAAAAAAGCAAAAATTTCCACGTATGATGTATCGATACCGCTGGTCACTATATTGTTGCGATGCATGACATATCGGGCACAGCCCTGAAAAAACATAACTCAAACAGCGGTGCATAATTTTTGAATCTCATAGGCCTTTGTTGGATAGAATTTTTTTATTATTTGAACCGCACTAAGCAGAAAGGAACCAAGCCGTATCAATTCGTCGTTTGGCTGACATAAGGGCGTAACTACACTTTGCAATGAACCCTGTCCTTCATACATTTTAATGCTTTTCCGGGCTCATCTCAATGTGTAGTTACGCCCGTATGTCAGCCAGGCGACGAATTATTGCCAAATTTAACCGGGCAATTTTAATTTTTTGACGGTTGTGCGGGTTTTGTGCAAATTTCAGTAAATTTGCAGCACAGTGCAAACCAAATTCCAAAATTTTCAAAGGAATCCGCACAAACGTTCTATTAAACTTTCTCTAAAATATTAAATTGCCCTGTTAAACTTGGCAATAGCTGATGAGGCTTGGTTCCTTTTCTGCTAAACGCGATCCATATTTAAATCGTGGGGTTGGAAAATACCATCTCAAAAATTATTATTTTACACCAGAGGAAAATACAATTAACTAATCCTCTTGATCTCAGGATTTAAAATGCAAAGTTGATTATCATATCAGTGTCTTACCGGAATCTGTTGAAAGTTGATGGTACATGTTACAAGAGCCCCATGGGTGAGGTAAACGCTTTGAATACACTTCATGTTTCTCGGAGTCATTACTACCCAAATGATCATTATTGCTTTGCGGAACCTGTAAACAAGTTGATTGCACATCATAGTTTTCTCTCATCATATCCTGCTCTGGCTTTTGATTCGCGGATGTTGAGGAGCAATCATTCAAAAGCCGACAAGTCTCTGGAAAAAGTTTTTCCGGAAGTTCGGTCAATGACATTTTACTCAACTTCTTCGGCAAGGAATCCGAACGGGAAAGGAAAGGCAAGGAAGAAGCTAACTTCTTTTTAACCGCACCGATACACTCTTTTTCCCTCTCCAATCTCCGGTTCTCTTCTAGACTTCCAGGCTCAGAAGTGTCCGTGTCCAATGAATCCCACACATACTCTTTCTGGTTGTTCTCTTCGTCAAACATCGGATTTTTCCAGACGGTTGGTCGATAGGTGAACGTCCTCGGCGATTCGTGATAGCCAGAGTGCGGACTGGTGTAGCTGCTTTCAGTGCTGTCGTTGCAATTGTCCAGGACGAATCTCGGGAAAAATTTAGAACTACGCTTTTTGGAGAATCTTCGTCTATTCCTCAGCTTTGCGCGCATGCTAGCCTCAGCAGCATGGTATGCGTGGTGCGCCAGGGAGTAGCTATCATCCGAATACTGCGCAGCACCTAGATTGCTGGAATAAGGTGGGTGTAACGTTTCCTCGAAAAACTCACTATAATCCGAGTATCGTGGAGCTTTCTTCAGGTCTTCTGAATATTTCGGAGTTGATTTCGGAAAGTCCGAGGATTTCCGGGTTGTCCTTGGATAGTGACGACATTGCGGAGCTGTCTTCGAATACTCCGTGAATTGCGGAATTGTCTTCGGATACTCCGTAAATTGCGGGTCTATCTTTGGATACTCCGTGAATTGCGGATCTATCTTCGGATACTCCGTGAATTGCGGATCTATCTTTGGATACTCCGTGAATTGCGGAGCTGTCTTTGGATACTCCGTGTATTCCAGATATGTCTTCGGATATTCCGAGTATCTAGGAGTTGTCGAAGAGCGTTTGTTTGAGTTCCAGGGTAGTATTTCATTCAGTTTCCGTTCTTCTTCGTCTTTTTTTCGCATGTTGGAAATAATTTGTGCGCGTCTTTTCCTGTACGCGACAGTTTCTTTGAACCGGATGTTCGGGTGCGATCGCAATGATCCTGTCATCCTAAACTCCGAGTGATGATTTGCGAGAGTATTTACAGGTTTGAAATGCCGAACTCTCGTCGATGGGACTTCGAGTGAATCGCATGACAGTTCTCTCGGCGTTTTAATTGGTTCCAATGATTTGGATTCTTGAGTATCTCTCCTGAACTCGGCTCTCACCGACCGATCAGGCAGCCCCTGAGTATCGCCGATGGATTTTTTCTGCAAAATTTTGTACAAAGAAAACTCTATACACTCTTTATAGAGAGGCTTTTGAGCAAAGCAAAAAGTATTGGTTCATTAAAAAAGTTTGTCAACATGTCTATACAACCTGTAATTACGGCGTTTAATGTCGGTTTTTGTTTGGTGTTGTATCACGACAGGGAGACCTCTTTTATACTTTTCAGCAAATAGTTTTGGAGCAAATTTAAAATTCACTGTCGATTGATGTAAAAAAATTGCATATATTGCGAATGTCTATTCAAATCCTCGCATTTTTTTGTATTATTCCACCTTCCACTCTCTTCACTATTAGACCTATATTAGTGGCCTCAATTAGCAGCCAAGCAGTGGCGTGGCATACATAATCTATTATCGATATTTCCTCATTTGAAGCTATGCGAGAGAATCGATTATTATCGCAGCGAACACCTTAATAATCGATTCTTTCCCATAAGTTTAAATGGCAAATCAATCGATATATCGCAATTCACGCCACGCCACTGCAGCCAAGTGATGCGGAACGTGATGGCGACGCTTCGAGAAATGATAAATATATTGTGATTAAATAAAGAGTATGAAAAAAAATAACAATACGTGGATCGCATTTTGCAAAAAGGAATTAAAAGCATTGCAATGATGCTAAGGTGGTGCAACTTCATCCTTTGCTATAAAATTGCTGAAATCATGAAAAAATATGAAATTTACATGGTAATTTTTGGCGTGAAGCAGTTTTTAGAGAGTAAAACAGAAACTGTTAATGGATAATCAGGTTTTCCTTTCAAGAAAAAGAAGTTGCACAATCTTAGCAATGCTGCAATGCTCCTGGTTCCTTTTTCCAAAATGCAATCCACTTTATACTTGCGGTAGCTAGCCATATTGCACTGGTAAAAAAAAAACACATTGGATCTAAAGCCCAGACTCTTGAAAACATTGACAAGAAAAGGGACTCTTGATTCAATCCGATTTTTCCTTGATTCAAACGGAAATCCGCTCAAATTAAGAGGCTTGGTTCTTTATTCAAGCAAAAATCCGATTGAATCGAGAGTATTTTTTCTTGTTGATGTTTTTAAGAGTCTGGACTCTATATCCAATGTGTTTTTTTCCCCAGTGTTGTCTCAGCGATTATTGCCAAATATAATTAGTTTCCTCTCTGAGAAAACACTGAAGTACTCTCTGAATGCATAACTCCAAAGATAAACCCTCCTGGGGGATTTTTTTTTAAACTGGGGGGTTACGCTCCATCTTGCGCTCTACCTCACCCCCTATGAAGCGCTCACTGGAAAAAAAAACACATTGGATCTAGAGTCCAGACTCTTAAAAACATCAACAAGAAAAAATACTCTTGATTTAATTAGAATCTAGCTTAAATCAATAACCAAGCCTCTTAATTTAAGCGGATGTCCTTTTGATTCAAGCAAAAATCCGATTGAATCAAGCGTATTTTTTCTTGTCAATGTTTTCAAGAGTCTGAACTCTAGATCGAATGTGGATTTTTTTCCAGTGCTTCGCGCTTCAGGCGTAATGCATCACTTGTTACTCTCATGATTTTATACTACCGAGTAAGATAGGGCATCCGAATAACGTACCGGGGGGTTCGTGAGACAGGGACTCGAGTTCCGCTCCGTTCTGAGGCCCTGCCGTTCTTTCTGCTCGATCCGCTGCTTTTTCAAAGCGTTGGCGGCGCGTCTCTTTCTCGAAGCCTCGGTCTCCTTGATGCGGAGCGGGTCCGGCTTAGCCCGCTCCGGCGCCGGAAGCTCGGGCGAATTTAAACGCTCTGGATTTTTACCGCGCGGGGGCTTTTCAAACCCCGAGTCGGACTCCGTCAAAAGTTTGCCGAGCTTGGCGGAAACTGCGGAAACTTCCGGCGGGCTCAGCCGAGCTCTTTCTGATCTAAGATAATGGCCGATGTTGATTAAAGCACTCGAGAACTTTCGCATAATTTCATCCACGAGATTCGGTCTGAATACGATGACGGGGGCGTTGTTGCTCTCCGCGGTTGTGTCGGCGCTGCATTCGCACGCGTAATTAAAAACTACCTCATTAGTATTCATAAAAATCCTGCGTTGATGCTGATGCTCTGCCTGGGTTTCCTTATTAGCTCCATCGGGTTCGCCCTCCGCTCTGCTCAGATTCGTCCTTGTTTGGTACTGTGTGGCATTATCTGAGAAGAGAAAACGACACACCTATGATATACAAGGGTTGTAACCTAGGTTCGATACTTCCGTGCTAAGGAAAAACGCCGCATGGGCCTTCGAACGTTGCCATATGCTCTTCGATGAAGAGCAAATTTGGTGGGAAAATTCTGAATATTTTTTCTCCAACGGAGATGTTGCATGTGTGAGAAATTTGCGATTTGACTGTTGATTCTTACGTAAAAGTTCGCGAGAAACACGATGGTGCCACTAGTTTTCTCTGAAATTAACTCCCAAGCTCAACAAAAGCTTTCAAGTTGAGGCCAAAATAGAGGGGATATCCCAGCCTACTCTGAGAGTTCACCTCTACATCAAAACAAACTCTCCATGCAAAGATAGGGAGCAACTACATTAGCAGGGTTGCCGTGTTTTCAGTTTTGGAGTCCCCACATAAAGTGGCAGCCGTGTCAATGAATTTGCTCCCTATCTTTGCATGGAGAGTTTGTTTTGATGTAGAGGTGGACTCTCGGGGTAGGGTGGAATATCCCCTCCATTTTGGCCTCAACTTGAGAGCTTTTTTTGAGCTTGGGAGTTGATTTCAGAGAAAACCAGTGGCACCATCTTGTTTCTCGCGAACTTTTACAAAAGAATCAACAGTCAAATCGCAAATTCTTCACACATGCAACATCTTCATACTGCCGTGCTAAGGAAAAACGCCGCATGGGCCTTCAAATGTTGTCATATGCCCTTCGATGAAGAGCAAATTTGGTGGGAAAAGTCTGAATATTTTTTCTCCAATTTTTCAGACAATCATGTTCGCAATGTAATCTAAAATATATGAAATTTTCAAGGAAAAATGGACGTAGTTCTACCAAACAGACCTATGTGGAAGTGAGAAATATGGGGTGTGCTCGTTAGCCTCTGGCCGTAAGAGTGAATGAGAATAATTGTGCGCCAGTGACGTCAACGGAGGAGGACGCCGCGTCACGTTCCTCGTGGTTGCGGTAGTCGTGCTCATTAACTCATGAGCCCTGTCCACAAGGCTCTCTTGCCATGCCCGCGGCTCATGAGTTCCGCATTCAGTTGCACATAGGTCTGTTTGATAGAATGCAATATCCCGCTTTGCCAATTCTTCAAAAGGAACCACGCCCACTTTTACATTGCTTCTTATGCAACTTCCACGAGCACACCCCACATTTCTCATTGCCACATAGGTCTGTTTGGTAGAAATACGTCCAAATATGCATGACTTTCCTCAAAAATACACGTTTTACTCAGGGAAATTTGGCAGCTCTCCTTTCTTCATACGCCGTTCTTCCTTAGCACGGCAGAATAGTAATTTATTAATTTGCACTAAGCCCTGGTGCCCAAGACTTTATTTATTCGCGAAGTCCTAAGTTGGGTCAACTTGACCCGGATTAAAATTGATTACTTTTTGTAGTCTCTGATGTATTATCTACGTTATTTTTATGTTTGGAAGGTAAAAAATACTTTTTTTTATTTTTCAAAACATTTTAACCTTTTTGATGACACCCTGGTTTTTCTTCGACCCCTCCTCATCCACCATATTTAGCTCCCCATGAAGAAAGAGTTCTCGGAAGAAAGAGTTAACTCGGCTGTCAAGCCTATTATCACCTATGGCAGTGAAGTGTGGCAGTTGAAGAAGCGGACCCAAGAAATGCTCGAGGCGACCGAGATGGATTTCTGGCGAAGATCGGCTGGAATCTCGAGGAGAGAACGTGTCAGGAATGAACGTGTCCGAGAGATAATGGGCGTTGAGGGGACGATTGTGCACGATATCATGACCAAGCAATTGGTATGGTATGGGCATGTGCAGAGAATGGCTGATACCAGGTTGCCGAAGAAGGTGTTGGAGTGGGTCCCCCCAGGTAGGCGACGGAGAGGGTGTCCAGCCAAACGGTGGGTAGAGGGCATCCATGAAGAGATGGAGAGATGCCAGCTTCCGGAGGATCTCTACCATGACAGATTCCTGTGGAGAATAGGCGTCGCAGAGCGCCCTAGCGCGCCGTAAAAGCGGCTCATACATACATACACAATCTCGATGGACATGAAGTCAATAAAATAGCTGCTTTAATAGTCTCTGTGCCATGGCGTTTTCCTTTAAATCGTAAGCATGTTAATATTAACATGTACTCATGCATTGAAAGTTTCAATTGTACGGCCTATCCTATATTGGCTAAAGTTTACATTCTTGAGCGGACTCTTTCATGGAAATTCATTTTATTCAAAACAATTAAATTTTATTCCTTCAAAATTATTCGCTGAACGAATATTTTGTGTATCACGTATTCCGGGGGTTGAAAATAACGACGAAATTCATCTGAAATTTCAGTCGAATTAAACGAAGGCGAGACTCATTCGTCCTCAACTTAACTGTATTTTAATCAAGGAGAAGTGCAAATGCTGCCTGTCCATTCCAAGAATTTTAGGATTCCCGTTGGATGAAATTATATACGTTTCAGTTGGTGCTGAGCAAGAATTATTCAGATGACATACCAGAAAATGTTACTTCTGTAAATTTGAACTCGGAGATTCATCTGTTTCTTCTCGGAAAATACAATGATGACAAAGATTTTATAACATCTCTCGACACGAAAGATTCAAATTATGGTGTGCAGTGATGATACACTTCTTGTTTTATATAAAGACGACTCTAAGAGAAGAATCAAGTTTCCTTAAATTTTAATCTTAAATCTATACAGGATGCCCCCTAAGTCTTGTCTTCAATCCTCTTGAGGGTATTAATAGTCAGAGAAATGTTAATTCCAAAGGTATCAAGTGTAGCGCATCCCCATTCCAGACTTAAAAAGAGGTTTCTCTTTATTAGACAAAGGTCCGTCACATTTTTGTAGAGAAACCAATACCACAAGAGCGTGGAACTATTTTGTCAACTATTGGAAAAAGAATAAGAAATATCAGGCTGGGAGAGCTAATTTACCATTTGCTGATGCATGCAACAAAATTGCCCCAAAAATCTGTGAAATTCCTCGTAGGCAATTTATACCTTTGAAAAGATTACTTTTCTAACAATAGGAGGATGCACAAGCAAAGGATTGTTTGTTCTTTCTTCTTCCAGTAATTATCCATGACATGATATAACCGCCAAAGCAAGCGCAAATTAACAGCTAGTAACTGTGCAGTTTAAGGATTGTCGCACAAATTGAAAATATAATTAGAAGCTGGCAGTCGTGTTCGACTAAGAACTGATCAACGGTCCTCTCACCTTTATTCGATGAAAAGTTATGATGATTTTGATGTGAAGCTGGTGAAATTTTCATCCTCATGGAATTCCTCCTTCGTATTTTTAAGCGAATGGATCCAAATCATGAAAATGTTGGCGAAAAATTTGGAGACTCAAGTACGGCAATAGAACTTTTTAACTTTCTTTGCATGATTTTAGGTTAGCCCAGAATGAAAACGTAAACATTATAAAAATAGTTTTATAGAAGCAGAAAAAAAAAAAAAAAAAAAAAAAAAGACGTGGGAAGTAAAATGAATGAGATGATATAAGAAAATCATATCATGGTCCGTTCAGGTGATCCCGCCACGATTTTTCTCGCACGAGAGGCTGAATGCTCCTGAACTCTAGCGGATCTTCTGTAAACCGTGTAAAGCGATTGACTCTCGTAGTGCGCGGGAAAGGAAACAGAGAGCGCTGGTAATTCTACGAGCATTCAGCACTGCATTCTCTCGAATCGTCCTTATTCTATGCTATTGCAGTAGCAGGGCCAAAAGCCCTGTTTTTCCTTCTTTCCTCTCCCACTCCCNAAAAAACCACGGTCCAATACCTATAATTTTTTTTTTTTTCACAAGAGTTTCATTTATTTGCTGGGCCAGTGGTTATTAAATAATCATTTTATTGCGTTTTGCTCTCTACATGAATAAATTGTGAGGCGTGTTGATAGCTAAAGTAAAAAACAAAACAAAAAAACAAAAAAAAAAAACCATCCTTTGCAGAGTGCAGAGGCATCTCCATTTGCAACATTAAAAATATCCGATTTAAATTTTTCTTGGAAAATTTTGAGCGAGCGATGAAAACTTACATTTTTTTTTTTAGGAAAATTGTCGGTTGAATTTCTTTTACAAAAAATAGCAGGAACATACAACATCGCAAATTCATTTTTCACCATGATTTTATCACGTAGCATTTGCAATTTGATACAATCCAATTTTTACACATCCAAATACACAGCGAGATATCTTTTCTGCTTTGAACTTCGGGAATTTTTATTGCTGGTACTCTAGTCATGAAATTTTTAAAGTAAAATTTACAATAAGTCATCATGTACACGAAAAAACAATTTTCGGTTAATATGGAACATATTATGAAGTTTTCAGACAAAGCAACTGAAGGGTACAGTCACGATATAGACTTCAGCTCATAGGTAACCACAGGTATTCTTAGTCATATTGAGACATGTGTTCTTTACGAATTATTTCGGTTAACTGAACCATAATTTAGTTCCGCACGATGAAAACTGCGATGATACATTTGAACCGAGGTTGAGTCCATGTAACCGAAGTTTTTTTCTCCGTTATACCCACCTACCTTCGACGGTGATGTTGAATTTCCTTTCCTTTGCAATGAAACTGAATTTCCCTGCGGAAAAGGAAACCTTTTCATTTGAATCTCGAGTGTATTTTGTTCACGTCGTGGTATTGATTAAAAGTCGACTAGCGTAAAAGTATGGCTGTACGCTACTCCTCTTTCATGCATCAGTCATCCTATAATGACACACAAAAAATATTCACCCTGTCAATTGCATCCATCTGTGTCAACTGTCTCCATATATGACAACAAAGTGGGAAAAATTGAAAACCACCATGGTATGATATGAGCCCCCCCTCCCCCTTCCACTCTGATGGGAATACTCGCATGGCGTATAGTGAACTGCGTGACAGTGCGTGACATGAGATGAGAGTGTTGCCGAATAATACACATTCTCAGGTTGACACCACTGTCAAATTGTAATAGATGTCGTTAAAATGTGGGACAGGTGGATTTTGAATTTAAATATTTTACAACTTGATACAACTTATGTTGCATTTTTGAACGGTATCAAGTTGCTACGTATAACAAATATTCAATCCATTTTACGAGCGATTTTGCACCTTTACCTCCTCGCCTATTTGCCGCCATTGATTTTAGAGGTCGTCTATAAAGTACTTCGGATAATTTTCCTGGTTTTTTTCTTCTTTCCCCATAGAAAGCCCTCTCATATCCTGGATTCTTCGTATAATGCATGGAAGATCCCATGACGACCTAAATCACGATACTATAGTTAGTCATGGGTAGTCCTTCAGTACATTCCGTCTAGTATGTAGTACTACATTAAATTATCAGGAGTATTTCATGGAATACCTCTAAAATCAATAGTGACATATAGACGTGGTAAAAGAGTAAAAGCATTCGTAAAATAAATGCATATTTGTTATACGTAGCATGTTGATACCATTAAAAAATGCAACATAAGTTGTATTAGGTTGTAAAATATTTAAATTCAAAATCTGCCTTCTCTCATTTTAATGGCATCTACTACATCACATTTCAGTAAACAATGTCTTATATCCAACTCGGCTTTTATGAAAATCGAGGGCACTATACAATCATTGCGTGCTGGGAGTGAAAAGTGAGGGAATTTACATAATATCGATGGCCAAAGTGCGAAACCACCAGTGGCGTGGCGTGAATGATCGATTATCGATATTTTTCTTCTCTGTCGCAACAGAATATTCCGTGTGGATTTCAAGCAATGAATTACGCCTCCTTTTCTTTAAAAGAATAAAATAGGGGCGGGAATTTTGAAATACGCAATGAAGATTCGTTATTCCACACTCAATGCATCGATATCATAAAAGCGGATAAATTTCTTGAAAATTTCCTTGATTTTTCTTCTCTATCAACAAAATATGCGGTATAGATTTCAAGCAATAATGATAGCTTGATTTTCTTCACAAAAAAAATAATAAATAAATAAATAATAAATGGGTAAAGAAATAAATAAATTAGAAAATAAAATAGGAGCGAAAATTTCAAAATAACGCAATGGCTAGATAGTTTTGTTCTTACTTCATCCTTTTTATAAAAAAGGATTTTGGAAATAAGAAATGGGTGAGTTACAAACTTTCCCATCATCAATCCGCGCTTGCACAGTAAAGAAAAAGTAACCATAATTTTGTGTTAATACGGGAAGTAAAACACCAAATAACTCGAGCCCTCGGTTGACTCTGGGGTTTCCATTCCCTCCATTGTTTTTTCCCCTAACTTCACGTCAACTGTGCCAAAATTAACAAACATTTGGGTTGGTATGTGTTTCACTTCCCATATTAACTAAAAGTAACACGAGAACAAAAATATTTGTATCAGTATAAAAGCACTCGTTTGAGAGGCGCAAAGGAGCTTTGAACCCTTCCGAATTAAAAATTTCGATGTTAAAACGTTTGACTCCTCTAGGTTAACCGCATTTCATTTCGAAGAGAGGGATTTTCCGGTGAGATATGGCTACAGGGACGGATGGGCTTCCTGTTGCATTTGACGCGACGCGTCGCGTCGCGGTGGCACGACGCGAACGCGGCGCGGCGTGCGTCAACGTCTGCCGGGGCTCCCGGCTCCTGGCTCGACTCGGAATAAATTAATCATTGCCTCGTTTGTTAGACGTGCCTGTAATTCGCAGTCACAAATTTTCAGCCTCAATCCATTTGTGACGGCCACATCACCGGCGACAAGTGATGATTTTTTCCTCTCTCCTTCCTTCGCGGCTGTCTTTCTCTCTCTTTCTTTGCGTCGCCCTTTTAACCTTGTCTCTTTTTACTCCTCTTTCATCTCCTGTCCACCCCGTTGCATCTGAGTCTCCTCGTGTCCGGATTAAAAATGATCTTTTCAGCCTGCTTCAAATTGGGCGAAGTGAAATTTTTCGAGTCAGACGCGGCGTGTCCGGGGGATTGGGGCTAAGCCATCTCCTCTTCGTTCTTTAACTATGAGACCACGGGTCTCGATTTTGATATTTGGTGCCAAATTTCACTGTTATGAACAATGGCTGGTCCTAGTCATTTATCAAATTGGACTAAATTTTGGAATTAGGAACTACATTTCTAGCCCATCTGTAAAAACACTTATGTGCACAGGAAAACTAGTCTGTACGTCGTTTTGTAGCTGAGCCAGATATTGCAGTTCCAAATTGCAAAACGCAGTCAAATTGGTGTGCGATTAATCTTTGTCTTTTGGAGAATGATCTCTGAAAATTGCTTCCAAAAATTTAAGGTCATGAAGGTTTGCAAGAATAATTTAGTGGAGGAGTATTGAAACACCTCGATCGGAATACGATTTTTCATAGCCGTACATTCGATATCCTCCCTGAAAAATGCGTACATGAGTCTTGATCCTGGTAAAGAAATCAACGAAAATTAATATTTGTTGGTTATTTAATGTAAAATAGCATTTTATTGCATATCAACTGAAAATATGTAGAATGAAGGTATGACGTTTTTACTTCAGACATCAGTGTAGCTAGAAGGCATCCGATAAACGAAGAAGGTAAAATTGTGTATAGATAATTGTACAATTACCCGAGTGGTCAATTTTGCCTACCGCTCCATTTGGAGGATGTTTTCTGGAGCGATCATTTTCTTCCATTTTCTAACTGCGACATTTTTCCAGTATTGTTACTTACTTCAACCTCTCAGCTTTTTGTGATGATTTTTGTTTTATTTTAGCCGAAATTGGCATTTTTACACAGCTAACAAACCATGGAAATATTTTTCAGTGGGTTTCATGAAAGGTACACACAGCATTTTGGTAACCGAACACTTTGCGTGACACAGTTATCGACCTGAGCTGGAGAAGGTTTTGGTGCCTGTAACTTTTTTTCACGGCAATATTGATGCTGTATTCCGATCCAAGAATATTCAGTGAACAGCAATTTTGCTGAATGAATAATCAGCAGAGGCGCGTGTATGTTCGCCGATACCTCAGAATCAACATTCATAAATGTGTCGAATGTTTCAAGATCAACATTCATGTATTTGCCGAAATTCCAACGATGAAAAATTGAATTGTTTAAATGTTACTTACCATGTTACATGTTCATTGAACGTTTTGGGATTGGCATCCTTTTACCGAATATTTTCGAATCAACAGACATAGGATTATCATATGTTCCGCGGGATCGAAATTTTATAAGTTTGCAGAGTCTTCTAGGATCGTCATTCAGTAAAGAAAAAAGAAAATACTAGAAATGTGTTATTTGAATCAAGAATGATGCTGCGTAATTCAAGCTACTGTTTTGTTGAACCCAATCATGTTTTCTTTGTTCCCGGAGAAATTCAGCCTGAATCAAGATAAGAAAAATCCTGGTCGGCAAATTCAAGAACCATCATTTGAGCCACGAGCACTTC